GTAGTAGTAGGAGTAGTAGTTGTTGTTGTGTGTTAGTGTAGTAGTCGTAGCAGTAGCAGTAGCAGTAGTAGTAGTAGTAGTAGTAGTAGTAGTAGTAGTAGTAGTTAGTAGTAGTAGCAGTAGTAGTGCTGGTGGTAGCAGTAGCAGCAGCAGCAGCAGTAGCAGTAGCAGTAGCAGTAGCAGTAGCAGTAAAAGTAGCAGTAGCAGCAGCAGAAGTAGTAGTAATGGTTGAGCAGTAGTATCATTCAAGCGGTATGTAGCTTTTCCGACCGAGGTGGACACCGGTCTATAAAACCCTACACCGCCAAGCAATGCCAAAAACAAACCATAGAGCCTTATGCAGCCTTGTAAGGGGCTGGTTTACATGTGTAGCTGCCAGCTGGACACACTCGAAACCAAGGGCTCCATCGCAATCAGTCTCCGGACGACATCGGCCGCCGGGCGGGCAGCAGCAGAAAAGCGGCTTCGCAACATGGCTCTCGGACTTGATGCATGTGAAAGGTAGCCGGCCCAGCAAACAGACTCAGAAGCACACACAAAACACATCAACTTTGCTTGTATTTTGTATGGCTGTGGTGCGGGTCGTTGAGGAGGGTGAGAATTTGAGTTGGTGGGCCCCGCTCTCGAGCCTCTCCGACCGAAAGACCTACATGCAGCCTGATGAGTCGCACCGGGCCCACAACGGGGCAGATGTGCCGTTACCATGGTATCTTTCATGGTGTCTTGGCATGAGCAATCACCACACAGCCCAGTAAGTGGTCCATGATCACGAACACGGGAAATACAAGAAGAGCTGTCTCTAGTTCTTGGATCGCTGAGGTTCTGCTTTTCTACAAAAGGAGCATAACAAATGGAATGATCAAACTGCTATATGTTAAAGCAAAACATAGCATAATCCGGTATGACCCAATGATTTGCAGCGTAGTATAGTGTACTTGAGCATAGTCCATCTAGGAACGATTGATAAAGCGCACGTATTCGCAATGTCTTTAATTGGAACAACAGTCAATGGAAGTGACAACACTACAGTACTTAGGACCCTACCAATTATCACCTGAGTCGAATCGACGCTGCAAGAGGGTCCTAGGGCCCGCAGCTGCGCGACCACCGCTCCGGCACAGTAGTACCTCTCTTCTTCAATAATCGGGCCAAAAACAGTTCAAAACTTCTAGGATAGACTAAATAAGTAATATAAGTAAACAGATATGTATATATATATATATATACATATGAGGCCAAAAAGTTCAAAGCTCTCCCATGTGACATCTACGGTACGGATCGTAGATGCGAAGCGTCTCGGCATCCTCGGGCCCGAAGTGACGATGAGAAGCTGATCCCTAAGGGTCCAGGTACCCAAAGAGTATAGACTATACCATGGCCCCGAAGTAGCTAGATTGGGACTGTTTTAAGGCCCAAGTCTATATGATATAGGAGTACATGGACCCTTATAAGGGGAAGGAAGCTGGTTTAGGGCTTGTTGCATTTCAGGTTGAGGCAGCTATGAGGTCTAGGGCTCTTGGCCAGGATTGTGGACTAAACAGGTCAGCATGAACTCGTCCACCATCTCGGGCATTCGAGCACAGGTTTGCTCTGATCCCTCATATGAAGCTAGCTTATCCTAATCCGACAGATTGACGAACCAGACTTCGAAGACATCCTGCACTGTCCTGCACCCTGAGCCCCAACCAATATCCGAGGCCGGTCCTTGCCCAAGTGTTCAGCCACGTAGTGCAAGATCCTCTCGTCTGCAGGCGCTTCACCGATTGGCCGCTCGCAAAACCCTCAACATGCCGAAACCGTCAAGCCTAATATAGGAGCCTTAATAATTAGAATAGGGTTTTGGGGCCCGTTTGTACTATAATTACAATAAGGAACTCCCATAATAATATGGGTAATTACTAAGGCCACTGTATTAGGCCTAAGCTTTGCTCATCTTCAATCCAAGTCTCTAGAGTCTGCAATCAGTAGTCTAAGCCGCATGCAAAACCCGGGATTCCCATGCAGGCCAGCACCCCACATTCCTGTCATGCAACCCGGTAGATCAAACTGAACCTCCCCAACAAAGACTCGCGTTTTTGTCTTCTTCAGGCTCGAAAACCTGCCTATACAATAAGCTTGACTGCACGCGCGCAGTAAACACGGGACGCTGCTGTGTCAGTTCTACAACGGACACTGAAACCATAACACTATTTGTTCACAGTCTGCAAACTCAGCAAAAGTATGGTGCCGAAGGAACCCCACTGATGGGAAAGTGCTTGACACCTTCGTTGACGCAAAGGGGCCCAAGCGGCCACATGTGCACACACGCAGCGCGCGTGCACGCACGCCCACAGAGACACACACACGCACAGACACCAACACCAACACCATTACGAGTTTCGGGGGAGTGTGGCCTGCCTTGTTCAGATACCGATGATGGAAGGGGGCAAAGAAAAGGAAACCGGCTACCGTTTATTAGTGACCGGCCTTCAAGAGTGTAGGGTGTCGGCATGACTGAGGTCTGGATGTGAGAAGACTTCAGTGCAACTCGCATAGGTCAGATTTCGGAAGCAGGTCAAGCCCTTCAAGTGCTCGAAATGCCTAAGCAGAACGGCCAAGTCGATGATCAACAACTCAGAGAAGTTGCCTTTAACATCCAGAACCCATGGCCTCGCAACATCTCGGTAGGCAGCCAGTGGTGTTTCGGCATGATCGGCTGCCTGAAGGTAAGGTATCTATTCCACTTTGAACAAACCTGGGCCACTTGGCCGGTCGGCACTCCAATACACAAGTTTCACCGCATGCTCCCAAGCGTGCCTGAGACTCGTACGCATGTGCAAGCTCTTCTAAGTTGAAGCAACCTATTGCTGAGTCTCGGTTCCCTGGTCGGCCCCAGTACTGGCAGACTCAGAGCAGTTTGATTTCACCTGGGTCCCTAAACCCTACACCCTAAGCCGTAGTTAATTGCTAATTAAACTTGTCGAGTCTCCCGGCTTCCGAGCCGAATGTGCAAAGCCTGCCTACACAAAGATCAGCTTATCTCTCTCTGTCTCTCTCTCCCTCTCTCCCTTCCTCGCGGGGATACCTAAACTTTCCTTCAAGCTTGCGTTTGGGAAGCCTTAGCCCCAGGCTTGGAGTACTCAGGCACTGCACTGCATTATTTCGGCTAATACACAAAACTAGATTTGTGCCCACATCCACTAGCCCACGGAGCAATGAAATCAAATCACCGCGCCGACCCATTGGTGACCTCTTGTGTGCAGGTGTGTATACATATGTATGTATGCATATATATATATATATGGTGTCCCCATGTTCCCACCCTTTTCCTGCCTTTGCTGCCCTCACCACATTGGGAAATTAATACACATAATATATATATATAGAGAGAGAGAGACATATATATATATATACATACACACACAGTCTCACATTTTGTGGCTTAGCTAAACATCCACAAACTTAGGCATGGTTGGCGGCATGCGCCTCGCACTTGTCGATCCAGGGCATCGTGTCACCTTCGCTCTGCTGCAACTGGTTCTAGCGAAGTCTTGGGGCTTTGGTTGAAAGTTTAGGGACTCCACCCAACTATACCTTCAGATTTAGGGTTGGGTTTAGGGACTCAACCCAACTATACTATTACACCTTCTGAGCCGGCTTGAGTTTGTAGGGTGGGCTGCGCCGCTTTGAGGTGTATCCGGCAACGAGAGGGGAAGGGAGAGGTGCACCTCATAGTCTCTTGATACAGACACCCTCTACCACCCCCAAGGACCCAATAATCAGGTACTTAGGTTTCGGATAGTAGTTATGTAAGTTACTATTTGGGAGAGTATATGATGATTAGGTACTTGGACCCTTAGGGTACCCCAAACCCTAAACCCCTAAACCGGGGTGCCGGCGCAGAAAGTTAAACAAGAGCCTTTGGGCTTTCGGGTCGTGCAAAGGAAGGTTGACCTCACAGACCAGAAGTCATGCCCAGAGAGCCCAATACCCTTGAACTAAGGAACATGCCTCAACTCATAATATCAAGGTCCCTCATTCTAAATTCAAAGTATAGTCCTTAATTAAGGAGTAATTATAGGGCTTTCTGGCTACCGGCTGGCTGTTGCACCTGTGGCTTCAAAAGGTTGAGAATCCTGGCTAGAAGAGCGCTTGCCAGCGTTTAGAGTTGTGACTTAACCCAAGCCCCTAAACCCTAAACCCTAAACCCTGCAGCCCTGTGCCCCTGAACCCTAAACCAAAGCCCTACACAACAACCCCGTGCCCCCAAACGTATGCATGCAGATGCCGAACAAGGAATACTTTGCCCCTAAAGTACCCACATAGGGACTACTGTACCCGTAGGGATACCTACCATAATGTAAGGGCCTTAAAAATTAGAATAGGGTTTTGTTGGATGTCATTCCCCCATTAAATAAGAAATTATTGAGGCCCCTATATTAGACCCTCAACCCTGAACCCTCAACCTTGGCTTTACAAGAGGAGGTTGAAGCCGCGGACGTGGAACCTTTCTGCGCCACGGGCCGGTGGGAGAGCTTGCGCAAAGTTTGCCAGCAGTCAGAAGCACCTAGGGTTTAGGGTTTAGGGTTTAGGGTTTAGGGCTGAAAATCTTGCCGACGGGGGCTTAGAAATCAGGGCGGTGCATCCAACATAAGTTGCTGATCACCGTCTTGACAACAACAGATTTCTAGATCGATCGAAATACAGCGGACACGATGGTCCTGCAACAGAAATCGAAGCATCAGAAGAGCTCTTCCACCTTTGTGGTATGCTTGTCATACATTGTGTTCTTTGTTGCAGAAGCCCAGGACCCTGAAAGGCTTAAGTACAAGTTGAGGGTCCAAACTATTCGGGACCTTACCCTAAACCCCAAACCCCTTGCCCTGCGTAGAGCCTAGGTGCAAGGATGGTCCTGAAACAGGGTCAAGTTCCACAACCTGGGAACCAGACCATCCTGCCAGCGTAGCAGGTACTTGAAACGACCTTGGTGTTAGGCTTTGGGTTTGGGGGTTTAGGGTGTTATTGGGGTTGGGGTTTAGGGTTTGGAGGTTTAGGGTTTGGGGTGCCGAGGTTTTAATCTAGGACATTTTCATGTGGGTAGTTACGGTTATAGGAGCCTTATAGAAGGTCTATATACCTTATAGAAGCCTTATAGAAGCCCTATATACCCTAAACTCCCCACCTGTAGTTTCCTGACTAAGGTTTGACCCGTAACAAGCGCTCATGGGGTCGGCGCTTGGAGGCCCAGGGGACTTAGTAATAGGGTTTAGGGGTTTAGGGTCAGGGGACTTAGTAAGTAGGTTATAAGTAGAGTTATAAGTACCCTAAATGGAGTTACCCCAATTACAACCCTACTTATAACCGACTTACTAAGTCCCCTTGGCCTCCAAGTGTTACCCCTCGGACTGAAAATCGCAAGCCTTGAGGTCTCAGAAACCCAGAAACTCAAAACACCGCACATGAAGTAGCATTCATATTAGGTATATATGTTAGATGTAATTTTCGGGAGCCGACTCGCAAATTCCGTACGTCACATTCTTCTAGGATGCAACGCCTCCGAGGAGTTTTGTGCACAACTCTCGGGATAGCTTCAGCTGCTTTCTTGCAAGGAGAGCTCCAAGTTCAGGCTTTAGAGCTCCTTGGATCCGTGGTTTAGGGTCTAACATAGGGGTCTTAATGATTAGAATAGGGCTTGAGGGTACATTATAATAAAATTATAACAAGGAACCCCCAAACCCCTCTTCTAATTATTACGGCCCCGACATTAGGGTTTAGGGTTGATGCCACACCAACAGAGCTTCCTAACGAACCCCATCCACAACACAAGAGAACAGCGACGACTGCCAAACCTGACGAGACCAAGAGACAATCTAGGGTCCTATAGCCTGCTACAGGAAACCTCGAATCTTTAACTTGAGTCGTATTTCCCACGTTCGAGACCGCAGAGGCACCTGTCGTAGGAAGGATGTCGGCGTCGGCTTTTCTGCGAGCTGTGTAGGCTTCCCAGTTTCTGTCCCGAAGGGTCATGGTTCAAGTCATGTTTCAGAGTTCAAAGTCACAGGGCTCGCGTTCTCTTGGGCCTAGATTCTAGATTGAGCTCTCTACTTGACGCCACTCCACTGCCTACTTTGTCCGGGCTTCCTGGGAGATGTACCTCGGACATTAGATACACCCGAAACCCTTAAGCCCCTAAACTCCAAAGACTAAAACCTGAACCCTAAAACCGAAACCCTAAAACCCAAACCCTAAAACCCCGAAGCCCTACGCCCTCAACCCTAGGTCCTAAACCGCGAAACTCCCCACCCCGGAACCCCACTTAATGTAGGGGCCTTAATGATTAGAATAGGGTTTTGGGCATCATATTATAACAATACAAAGGAACCGCCAAAAGTAGCAAAGGTAATTATTATGGCCCCTACATTGGTATATTATACTATAACTATAACAAGGAACCCCCAAAATAGTATAGGTAATCATTAAGAAGCCCCCCCATATTTACCCTATGCACTTGATCTCCGGTGCCTCCTTCTTTACGCTAGGAAATGATCGAAAGTCTTGGCCGGGCCTGCCTCGAGAAATATGAATAACAATAACAATAATACTACTACTGATAATAACAACAATAATAGTAATAGAAATGTCTGATTAAGATTAGTACTAATAATAACAACAATAGTAGACCAGGTTAAAATACAAGTAGTAATAGCAATAATACTGTGCATCATAGAAAAACAGGTATTATGAATATACATATAAATATAACTATATCTACAATAACCAGACCACCATTAATAACGATAATAACAAAAACACAACACTAGTGGAGCTGTGCTGTGTTGAGAGAAGAGAAACCTAAAAATAAGCGGCTGTGCGACACGTTGGGCTTCGGGTCCGGGATCGTTGAAAGAAAACACGTACTCTAAACCCTAAACCCTAAACCCCTAAACCCTAAACCCTAAACTCCCGAAGCTTCGAGGGGCCTCCCCTTAACGCAAAGGGTCCAAGTACCATTATAGTAGGTATTTGGGCCCCTAGAGTATATACTATACTATTACTGACACCCTTTGGGTTAAGGAGGATCGCAACGACGGAACCGAAACACGACCCACAGACTCAGAGTATCTTTGATGGCTACAGCCGGGAAGGCTGGCAAAGTTGTGGTTCAACGTTGGCCTTCCATGTTTTTGTCAAGCCCATCTGCACGGCTAGCACGACCGAGATTTGTTTCTGCACGGGTACACTCTTCATGCTCGAAATGGCCGGCTTTGCAATCCTTCCCTGGAGCAGTTGCGCATTGAACCGACCCGGAAAATGCACATCCGAGCCCTGCCCAAAAGATGACATCATGTCCTAAAGCTTCCATATTATTCCACTTCTCCTCTTTCTGGATGCGATCGCCAGGACAGTCGCGTGGAATGGCGCAAAGCCACCTGCTTCAATATCATTCTTAGTTGCAGCAGGCAAGTTCAGGTTGAGTTTCCATACGACACGGGCAAGGGTGCTGCGAATGCAGGGTAACGGCCCTCGGAATACCCGAAACCAAAGTTTAAGCATTATCCCTTGCGCGCCTGCCAACAGTGGCCAGTCCTTGGAACAGCTGTTATGATAACGGTAGTAGGAGTAGGAGTAGGGGAGGAATAGTTAGTTGTAGTAGTAGTCTACGACTACGACTACGACGACGACGCTACTGCTACGGCTACGGTTACGGCTACGGCTACTGCTGCTGCTACTGCTACTGCTACTGCTGCTGATTACTGCTACTGACTACTGTTACGAAGAGGACGACGGCAGCGGTGGGCCGGATGCAGACAACAACCATCACTACGGCTACATCGACGACAAGGACAACTACTGCTGGTGGTGCCGGTGCTGCTGTTTATGCTGCGAAGACCGCTGGTTTATTGCCTCGCATCATCGCCGAACTCACCGTGACTACCACAACTGGAACGATCCTTCTATGCGTATGTGTAGCCCAGCAGCCACTACAGCTTCTCTTCAACACTATGTACTGGTAGTTGCTAAGGTTGGTTCTGGAATCCGATACTTGGCAAAGTTGAGTCGAGCTGCCACTTCTACCCGGCTGCCGACTGAGTAGCAGGGCTCGGATGAGTCGGAGGCCATGGAGAAGCCGCAGGCAGCTCCATCAACATATGGGTCAGTTGACTTTCGGGGCTACGGAGACTGCGCAGGTAAGCGTTCTAGTTTGGAGAATATCTAAATATGAAGCTGCTACCCGGCATCGCCGTTTTTGAATCTTGGGCCTTAGACCCCAGCCATGCTCTTAAACTTGGGATCCTACCTTCAGCACTTGAACAAGCGCGGCTGGTGCACAACTCCATCTGCAACCCGAAAGATATGCCAGCGGAAGAAAGAACAAAGACAACACCTAAACCCCAAACCAAAGCCCTAGACCCTAGAATGTCTGACGTTGGAGTAGGCGGATGTCGCTAAACCGGTGAGAACCGAAGCTGCTGCTCCCGAAGCCGTCGTGATTGCTAAAGGAGGGCTGCTTCACACGAATGACAAAGGATTTGTTGGAGGGCGCCCGACCAGTCACGAACATCGTGATGTCAGTTATGTCCATCTGCATCGACACGTTGCCCAG